CACGAAGTGCCTGCCGAAGCTGTATTAATATTGAAAAATATATTTACATACAGTTTTCTGAATTTAAAGATCCTGACGATCATGGCAATTGTGCCAAAAAGCTTTGACCAAAAACTACAATTGAATAAAAAGATTTTTATGTTAATTAAATTATGCACAATTTTTAGTACTTTGTCTACATACCCACCTATCAGGGTAATTAAGTGCTACTATCAGTATATTACTCATTATTGAGAAAGAATTGATTATTTTGTTTACTATGACCCCTATGAGAAACGGACCAATTGCAAGAGACTGGGTAAATAATTTAATCACTACAGGACATGTCATCTCATCAAAATGCCATGCCTCAAACACTAAACATATTGAAAGTAGCTCGGCATTAGCACTCTTAAAGGGGGAGGAGGGAGAAAAGGAAAGGAGAAAGAAAAATAATACGTTTTTGAACTTCTAATTGATTAAAAAATATCCATTTGGTATATGATTGGAATTTTATTTCATACTTTTTTCGCCCCTGCCTCCCCTGTAATACATCTGGGTGTAAATTAGTGTATGAACTAGTGAAATTTCATATGCATGAATAGTTGCTCTACAAATAATGCTTCGCACAGGACGATTTCAAAACTGAAGCACAAAAGATACTCACATCCTACGCCTTTATGCAATAGTAGGAGATATTTTCGTAGAATAAACAAAGAATTATAAATGCGCTCTAACATTTGGAATCTTCGCAGAAAAGCTCTTCATCGGCGCCGCGCCGCGGACGATGTGGAGAGTTCCTGAACAGTCAAAACGCCTTCTTTTCTATGCGTATGCAACACGGACATCCATGGAGCCCGAATAGTTGCATCCAGGCGTTAAAACGTATTTTGTATTTGTACGTTGTTCGTCGCATACGACAATCCTTACATCATAACTTAATTTTAGCATTGCTTATTGTGCCGATGAAGAAAACCATGGCTCATATTTATCGCGACATCGATTTCCGAATAATTCTAATTGCGTAAATATCTAACAACATTTCCGTCCTAAAATGTACTCTGCAGCCCTACCTTCTCTGACTGGGAATAACGAATGCGACAAAGTCATTCCGTGCATGGTCACTTGAGGAGATATTCGAGCGCGTATCTCAACATATTAGTATTTTTTTTTTTTTTTTTTTTTTTTTTTTTNTTTTTTTTTTTTTTTTTTTTTTTTTTTTTTTTTTTTTTTTTTTTTTTTTTTTTTTTTTTTTTTTTTTGCTGAAGAGTTACAGAAAAAGTTTAGTCAGAAATGAAATCGACCTACGGTTAATTCAGAGCCCGACGCGGCAGGGTCCAAAGCTTGCGGAAAATATGTCTTACGGAACTGATTGCTTTAGAATCATTGAATCGAAGCACCAATGGATTGAGCTCATAAAATAATTCAACTGAGAGGTTGTATCTCACATCGATGAGCTCTTAATTTTTAGCTAATTGGACCGCGTTAAGCAGAAAGGAACCAAGCCACATCAGCTATTGACAAAATTAATCTGGCAATCTAATTTTTTACATGATAACGGTTGTGCGGATTTATGTGCAAATATCAGTGCACAGCACGAAGCAAGTGCTTTAAAATTTTCAAAGGAATCCCCTTAAACGTTCCCTTTTAAAAAATAAAATGGCTCGGTTAAATTTGGCAATAGCTGATGTGGCTTGGTTCCTTTCTGCTTAACGCGGTCCAATTGTAGGTTTCTGATGACGTGTTCGGCCGCTCTAACTGAGCGATTACAGCGCGTATAATGACGCAGAATATTTTCCTTCGTCTTCACCTCGGAGCACTTCAGGACAAAAAAATTGTAAAACAGAAAAATGGTTCTACAATTAAGGAAAAGTGCACATTTCACATGTATCAACGGAATTACACGTCAGCCCTGAAAGCTTAGATGTCTAGACATTTCGTAGCTCCTCTGACGTAAGGGCATACCCTCATTTCCACATGAGCCATGGAAAGCACAGATTTATGCGGAGGATAGGGCTCACGTGATAATTACAGGAAATTACAAAAATCATATTACAAGACTGACGGTTTTTAGGACAGACACACAGAGGGGAGGGTAAGAACTTTAAGTGTACGCTGTCACGGAGCTGTCATTGTCCTTTTTGTTCAAAATTCACATTTTTTCTTCGAAAGAGCGCATTTTAAAAGGCACGGGTTATGAGGGTGAGTGGTGTGTATGGTCGTCTACCTTGGTTGGGATTACTTGTCCAAAATGAAAGTTCTCCATCACTATTTGATTGTTCTGGCCTCGTTTCTACTTTGCCACGAGGGAAAAGCCGTGAGTAGATTTATCACAACTGTAAGACACAATACCTTATAATAATTGAGGGGCTGGGTGGACAAGTCGCATAAGTGCAGTTTTTACTTTTTCGAGAAATAATTGTTTGAAGTCTCGAAATTACATGGATCCTCGTGGTGGAAAGAATGTTCTAACTGACTTTTTGATGCTTAAAAATTGAAAGGGAGCGAGTTTTAGCAGAATATGCATTAAAATTAGTTTTACTTGAAACAATGAATATCTCATTTTTTCAGGAACTGCACATATGCGCCTTATCCTCCAGGCCCATAAATTCTGATGCTCGGTGATTCATACGCTGGAGACAGCGACACATTATTTTAGCAGTAATATTTTTTTAGATTTAAGCTCATGACGTATTCCTTTGTTATACTTTCTTACATTTGTATTTTTATTTTACAGAAATTGTATTAAAAGCTCCTGTAGCTGTTTATATTGAATGAAATATTAGAAAAAGTAGTACTTTGGTATCTGCTGCCGAGTATCATTGCCAGGGCCGGATTTACTTACTTGCCGCCCATGGGCCGCCTGTATTTTGCCGCCCCCTTTTTATTCGTTTTGAAACATCAATAAAAACCATCAAAAGAACGTGCCGGAGGGAAAGATGCGTATAAGACGCGTTTACTCGTGTTGGTCACATTTTTTGCGAAAGCCCTGTCAACACTACTAGCAAAAGTTCACGGAACTTGGCGCGAAAGTTAGGTTCCGGAAACCTATCTCTGTATGGACAAGGCCCTCCATTTATAAGAGATGAACCAAAAAATTATGAAAGAACAAATATAAATGTGGTTTAATAATTTTAACTTCCGCCGCCGCGCCGCGCTGACCGCACTGTGTTTGACGCAATGCATGAAGTATTCCTACGGTCTTACATGCGCAATGCGTTTCGGGCCGACCGCTGCTGCACGCACTGTGTTTGACGCAATGCGTGAAGTATTCATGCAGTTTTGTAGGCGCTAATATGTGTTACATGCCGACCGCCGCGCCGAGGGTTTCTCCTTTTCATCTCACGTTCTCGTCATCATTGCTCTCTGCGCCGCGCCGTTCCAGGCCAAATTCCGTGTTCGGTTTCTCTCCTAGTCTTAACTCGACTAATTGAAGGTGCTGTCTATTGTATCACAGATGGACGACAAAATGAGAGAATTACTCTCAGGAAATGAGAGATTTTGTCATATTTTCTCGTTCGTAATTTTTTTTTTCTGAATCCGATTTTTCTTTATAGCTTCATTTCAAAAAATTGCAAAATTTGCCGCCCCCTAAATTTGCCACCATGGGCCGTGGCCCATGTGGCCACCCTCTTAATCCGGCCCTGATCATTGCTCTTCAATCAAGAAATAAAATGCTTGTATCACAGAGAAAATTGCGCACGTTAAGCAGAGATTTATTTGATTCAAGAAATTGTATTCTTCATTTAAGAGGAATTACCCTAGATAGCGAGGTCAACCCCCTTTTTCCCTTAAGTGATCGACCAATCAATATATAAAAACGTGTCACGATCAGTTGAATTAGGGTTGTTGCGACTATCTTACCTAAGTATTCTGAAAGATAATTGACGACTCGCGAATAAAATGCGTGAAAAAAATGTAAAATCATGAGAGCAGGTGGACAAACCTCTGAATGAATGTAATCTGTGAAAAATTTGCTTCCAAATTCCAACTTTTGAGTTTCAAAAAGTCAGTTATAACTTCCTTTCTGCCATAAGGGTCCGTGTGATTTCGAAACTTCAAACACGTATTCTCTAAACAGCAAAAACTGTACTTATGCGCCTCGTCCTCCAAGCCCCTCAAAGGTTTTTTTGTAACATCTTCTTTTGCCATAGCTTAGTTTTCTCAAAATTGATGATAGTAGTTGAAATTTTGATGAGCCGAGTTCTTTCACTCAACGGTGCTCATCCTCTTCGGGGAATAGAAAAACGCGCCTATATACATGGAAAACAGCGAGCGCTTCCCGAAAGCCCTGCATAGACGATCAAATTCCGAACCAATTCCGATCAAAGTAGACATGCTGATGACTGGTGGTCACCATCTACCATCAAATTTTGAAGGGCCGCACTTTTTTGTTCAAAGTAAGATCAGAACAAAGTGCCACCATTCATCATTTCCTGCCACAGGAAACATTTCTGCCAAGTTTTCATTTTAAAATGAAGCAAATTAATGAGTTTAAGACTGATGATTCCCGACACTTTGATGCTCCTTTGATCGGAATTGGTTCGAGAATTTGATCGTCTATCGAGGCCTTAATGTGCTGGTTACACGCTCAAATTTCCATCAATTTCCGATCAAATGGTGACTGTTGCGTACCATCTACCATCAAATTTCTGCGGCCTGCAAAAATTTGATGGTAGATGATGGAGCTGTGGGGCTCATCCTTCATCTGATTTCCACACAACCGTGCTTATTTCATGCTTATTTCAATCAACACGCTGTTTCAATTAATTTTACTCAGCAGTCTAGATAACTCTCGACCGCCATCTTGGTCATCATTTTGATCGGAATTTGACGGAAATTTGAGCGTGCAACCAGGCCATAATACGAATGAGTTACAGCTTTCCCGCTTGTTTTCAATGTGTGTTCTATTATTTTTTCCCGAAAATCAGATGCACTCAAGAAGCGCGTGGCACGAAGCAATCCAAGCCTACGAGACCGCGACTGAACATTGCAAGGGAATCACGAGAGAAACGTCAACAATGATAAAATCGGCCGTCAACTTGTTATGCCGTGAGGCCTTCAAGGCACTGGACACCGCAGTTCTGAACACCTGCCCCGGCTGGCAGAACCAGAACCCCAAGTGTCGCCAAGTTCCAGGTGCAACAGAGCCTTACCCTCAATGCACCATTGCCTCGAGGGAAACTTTCCAACCACCCAAGACCCTCTTCGACTGCGCCTATACGACATTCCAACAGGTGATCCTTTCAATTCGAAGCCAGCGAGCGTGGCTATCTTCCAGAAGAACGAGTATGGTACGTCAAGCCAGTGGCTCAGGTCATCCTGCTGCCAGTGGCTCAGGTCATCCTGGTGCCAGTAGCTCAGGCTATCCTGGTGCCAGTAGCTCAGGCCATCCTGGTGCCAGTAGCTCAGGCCATCCTGGTTTCAGTAGTTCAGGTTATCCTGGTACCAGTGGTTCAGGCCATCCTGGTGCCTGTGGCTCAGGTTTTGTTACCACTGGCTCAGGCCGTGGAAGCCCGCCTCGTGCCGAGCTAATTTCACTTCCATCGACTCCTCAATTTAATCCAGCCAATAAAGATCCCTCACTAATCGACGATCCAGAATATCGTGTGGAGGATTTCTCTGCAACTCCGGCGCCTCGCGGAACGATAGAATTCCTGCCGCCTCATCGATCTCCTCCTCGTTATTCCGGTGCCGGTGACACTGGTTCTCCACCAGCGATCCGTACAAGCCCGCTTCGCCCCGAGCTAGTTTCACTTCCGACGACTCCTCAATTTAATCCAGCCAATAAGGATCCATCACTAATCGACGATCCGAACTATCGTGTGGAAGATTTCTCTGAAATTCCTCATCGCGAGAGAGCATGCATACCGCCTCCTCGATCTCAACCTCAATCTCCTCCTCAATCTCCTCCTCGATCTCAACCTCAATCTGATCTTCGATATCCTCCTGGATTTCCTCCTCGATCTCAACCACAATCTGATCCTCTATATCCTCCTGGATTTCCTCCTCAATCTCAACCTCGACCTCAACCTCGATCTCAACCTCGATCTCCTCCTCGATCTCAACCTCGATCTCCTCCTCGATCTCAACCTCGATCTCCTCCTCGATCTCCTCCTCCTCATTTTGCTGCCCGTGGCAAGGGTCCTGCCAGCGCGAGCGGCTCAGGCTGTGCAAGTCCACCCCGTCCGGAGCAAATTTTCCTTCCTCCGACTCCTCCATTTAATCCAGCTCATACGGATCCATCTCTGATCGAGGATCCGGACTTCGGTGTGGATGATATCTCTTGTGTGGATCCGGACTCCCGCGGGAAGGCACCATACGTCTCGCCTCGACGATCTCCTCAATCTCCTCGAGCCCGTGCAGGTTCCCCAGTCTCGCATCCTGTGTTCAGTGGAGGGGCGTTCACCGGCTTCGAGTTTTCACTGCCTCCAACTCCAGAGGAGCCATCGGGCCCGGTGGATAGCGCACTCCTAATGGATGAAGATTTCAGCGTGGCGGATTTTGAGCCTGCAGAGAATCAACCCGACGCCCTCGCTGGTAAGTAGAGCCAGGTGTTTCGCTGCCTTGCAAGGAAATGGGGGGGGGAGGGGAATGCCTCGGTTCTATGGGCGGAAAAGTGCAAAGCTTCAAAAACTTCAAACGCGATTTTCTCACAATGTGAAGATTCGACATCCGCTATTGTTACAGATAAGTCCTCATATGCTTAACAGGGCTCACGTCATACTGCACATAGCTCTGTTTGATAGAAATACGTCCAATTCTTAATAATACTGTGTTTTTTTTGGTTTTTGTTTGTACTTCGCTGCCTGCAAACCGGCCGCCAGAGGCCCGCAGCCTTTGAGAGAGTGCAACGCCTTGGAGGTTGGGCCGCGTAGTAGCCAGGGGTCCGCTCCCCTAGTACACCCCTAAATTCACAATCTGCGTAAGAAATATGCGTATTCATAAGCCTCCCGCTTCCATAACGATACTACGACACAGGTGCACATTTCGTATGAGGAGCAGTGGCGTGGCGTGAATTGCGATGTATCGATTGTTATGCCATTTAAACCTATGGTAAATATAGATTATTAAGGTGTTCGCTGCGAACACCCTGTTCATCGATCCTTTTCCGTAGGTTTAAATGGCAGAGCAATCGATACATCGCAAATCACGCCACGCCACTGATGAGGAGTCCGTTCCTCCAATCCGTAAGCACTAGGCGGGCTCTACGTAATATTCAAAATGGCCGACGCCAACCCGCCAAAACACACGCGACGATACGGGATTTTATCAGCCGACAGCGTGTGTATATTTGGACCGCGTTAAACAGAAAGGAACCAAGCCACATCAGCTATTGCCAAATTTAACCGGGCAATTTTTTATTTTACATGAAAACGGTTTTGCGAATTTTTGTGCAAAGTTCAGTAAATTTTCTCCATAGTGTGAAGCAAATTCCTTAAAATTTTCATAGAAATCCGTTCAAACGTTCTCTCGTAAAAAATTAAATTGCCTTGTTAAATTTGGCAAGAGCTGGTGTGGCTTGGTTCCTTTCTGTTCGACGCGGTCCATCCATTCATTGCATTGATAAGCAAGACCGGATAAAGGGGATGACCACATGGGCGGCAAATTTAGGGGGCGGAAAATTTTGTATTTTTTTAAAATATAGCTATAAAGAAAAATCGGATTCAGAGAAAAAATTACAAACGGAAAAAGGTGACAAAATCCCTCATTTCCCGAGAGGATGTCTCTAATTTTGTCGTCTTCCTGTGATACAATACACAGCACCTTTAATTAGTCGAGTTAAGACTATTTGTAAGAGAGCAACCGAACACGGAATTTGGCCTGGAACGGCGCGACGCAGAGAGGAATGATGACGAGAACTTGAGATGAACATGAGAAACCCACGGCGCGGCGCGGCGCGGCGGTCGGCATGTAACACATATTAGAGCCTACAAGACTGCATGAATACTTCACGCATTGCGTCAAAGATAGTGCGGTCGCTGCGGTCAGCAGCGGGCGGGGTGAAACGCATAGCGCCTACAAGACTGCATGAATACTTCACGCATTGCGCCAAACACGGTGCAATCAGCGCGGCGCGGCGGCGGAAGTTAAAATTATTAAAGCACATTTGTGTTTGTGATTTCATAATATTTTCGTTCATTTCTTGTTAATCGAAGGCCTTGTCCACACAGAAATAGGTTTACGGAACTTAACTTTCGCGCCGAGTTACGTGAATTTTTGCTAATAGTGTTGACAGGGCTTTCGCAAAAAATGTGTCCAACATGAGTAAACGCGTCTTATGCACCCCTCCCCCTCCGGCACGTCCACTTGATGGTTTTTATTGATGTTTCAAAACGATTGAGAAGCGGGCGGCAAAATACAGGCGGCCCATGGGCGGCAAGCAAGTCTATCCGGCCCTGTTGATAAGACAATAATGGTGCGCATGCTTCCTCACGATTTGTGCGCGGAAGCGTCAGCCATGTTGAATATTGTGTATCATCCTAGTGCGCAAGGATTGGATGAAACGACGCCTCTTAAAATGCTCGCACCTGTGCCGTGGTATCGTTTTCGAAGCGAGAAGCCTAGAAATCGCATCTTTTTTACGCAGATTGTGATGCGCTCATTTTGATTTTTTTGTCATTTTCTACGAGAGAGAACTCTTTTTTGCTATAGCTGCAATTTGAAAAGGGCCTCCATTGTAATACAAAGTGCTACAGAACAGAGCCACCTTAAGGTGATTCGATGGACGCCATATTTTGTGTCAGAACGGCATGAAATATATCGCATCAATTGGCTCCATTTTTTCAGCTACTCGTCATTTTCTCCCATTTTGAGATCGCAATTCTGTTGTCAGGAGACTAAAGCACTCACTTACCAATTTTAACAAAGAAATTCAACGTAATAAGGGCGTGGTTTTTTTTAGCGAGAAAACATCGCATTCGATACTGATATCGAAACTGCACTCGAATGCGATGTTTTCTCTCTAAAAAAAACCACGCCTTTATTACGTTGAATTTCTTTGTTAAAATTGGTAAGTGAGCGCTTTAGTCTCATGACAACAGATTTGCGATCTCAAAATTGGAGAAAAATGACGAGTAGCTGAAACAAGCAGTGAACTCCAACACAATGTGTTGATAAGGCGCGTCATTAACTCGCACATATCAACCCCTTTAGTTTTCATTTACAGAGATTTCAAAATAGGCAAACAGCATAAAAAGAGAATTCACGATCCAACACTGCGAGGTCAAAGACGCACCTTGACGAGACCGTGTATTGTGAAAGTAGAAAGCTATTCGATCGAATTTAAGTTTTTTGATCTGCCTCAAGCAAAATCTTATCAGATTCTTGAAGAAAAGTGCTACGGAATAATTTAAGCGAAGAAAGGAAAAATTCTGTCGAACTCCTAGAAGATAAAGTCGATTTAAAGGTATTTTGGGGCTAAAATACCCAAATCACCGGTAGTAAAAATCCCGTTATATTATTGAAAAGAAATTGACTCGATATAAATGCAATTGCATTAAATACGTCTTGATTTTGTTATTTTAAACGTCTTTCCATGCAAAGAAGTTCAACCATGTCGTTGCTTTATTCATTCATGAATTGAAAGTAAGCAATCTACATCCCGAAAATCTACTGATTTGCCGTAAAAAATTGCAGAAACTTGATATACCAGGTCGATGCACCCACTCGTTGAATTTACCAACCAATTTTGTGAGTGCA